GGCGGGTCTGGAAACCACCCCGAACCCTCAGGTCTCCCCTCCCTCTCCTGCTGCCCCCAAGCCGTGCCCCCAGACAAAGTGGGAAGCGAAGGGAGGGATGCAGGCCTCACCATCTCTCCGTCTGTCTTCTCCCCCGACCCCAGCACCCAAACTCGACAGTTCTACGTCTCCATTCAGCCACCTGTTGGGGAGCTGATGGCCCCCGTGTTCATGAGTGAGAATGAATTTAAGAAGGAACAGGGTGAGTGCTCCTGGGGTGGGGAGGGGAGGGGGCTCAGTCAGCTGCGGCACACAGCCACGCTGAAGGATCCTCGGACAGGGAGGCCTCGCAGCTCGTGGCTCCGCAGAGGCCGGGACACTTAGGGAGACTGTGGAAAGAGCTGACAACGGCCAGGTTGAGGATTCCAGGCCAGATGGGGGAAACATCACGGGCGAGAGTCCGGGAAAGTTTACCGGAAGAGAAGAGGGGAGCAGTTTGGTTTGGGACAGAGGAGTCCCTAGGACAGGGGAGTCGAGTGAGAACAGAGCTGAAAATACATCTGGTCTGTTTCCTAGAAGCCCGAAGGCTGCACCAAAGGGGTGTCAGTCCTAGAATCTCAGAGCTGGAAGGGGCCGCAGGGGTTGGTGGATCCAGCTCCCTCGCTAGACAAGGACTGTAGATCCGTCTTCCTGGCAGGGGAGGGACCAGCGAAGGTGTCTGAGTGAGGGCAGGGTCAGGTTCAGCAGGTGTGAGTTATGGGCCCACCTGTGAGGCTGTCTGGGCCTGTGGAGCTCTGGCCTGTCCGGTGAGGACTGGGGCCTTGGCCAGGAGTGCAGCAGCCACTAGTCGTCTCTGTGAGGACCCAGCATCGGGAGCTGGGAGGGGTTTGATCTTTGGTCAGCAACGTGGATGGAGCCCTGGGCAGGGTGGGAAGGCAGACTGACAAAGGCTTCCTGAGGGACGGCCAGGCCCGAGCGGGACGTACCCTCTCCCCAAGGCTGCTGGGGGAGGTTCGGACCCACCCACCCTAGGAGAACTTGGTGGGGAGGCCCAGTGGGCAGACCCGGGCAGACCCACCCAGCCTCTGCCCTCACAGCAGCCTCTGCCCCCAGGAAAGCTGACGGGCATGAATGAAATCACAGAGAAGCTCACGCTGCCCGACAGCTGTCGGAGTGACCACACCGTGGTGCAGAAAGTCACCGCCACGGCCAACCTGGGCCGCGTCCCTTGTGGGACGTCTGATGAGTACAGGTACTGGGCCACTGGCAGAGGAGACGAGATGGGCTGCTGGGCCTGGCTGAGCCCTGGGGCTGAGCCCCTCCCTCTCTCCTCCTCCCTCAGGTTTGCAGGGAGGACGCTGACCAGCGGGAGCCTGGTCCTGCTGACCCTGGACGCGCGGCCCACTGGACCCGCCCAGCTGACAGTCAACAGCGAGAAGATGGTGATCGGCACCATGCTGGTGAAGGACGTGGTGCAGGCTCTGACCCAGTGACTCCACATGCTCCGACCCCCACTTGTTTCTCCCTTGTGACACCTGGGCTGTTAGCACCCCCCCTTCTCTCTCTCAGATTCTTCATGACAGCACCCAGGGCTCCTCTCTCCCTCTGACCATTGCCAGGTTCTCTCCCAGCCCTCCCCCGTGGGTTCCTTAGTGACCTCAGTGTGCAGAGAGACACAGCAGCTGCTCCCTGGTCCCCCAGCTTTCTGTAGCTATTTACGTAGCAGATGCTCAATAAATGTCTTCTCCCTAGGTGCTGGCTCACTTTTCCTTCTGGGTTCTAAGGGGATGGGGGAGAGTGGCTAATTCTTGTTAGACCCTCGTGAATGATCACTGCTGACCCTCTAGGGAGGCTGTGACTGACTCTCATAGAGTTGACTCTGGTTGGAGCTCCCCCAAGATGACCATCTCTGAGTCTCCGGGCGTCTCTGGAAGAGACCTGAGCAGGGATGAAAGGCCAAGCTGGAGGAACTCCCTGGTCCTTTCTAGGAGCCTCTGCAAAAGCAAGGCCTCCCCCTTGATCCCCCTCACAGGCTCTTGGGAAGGATTCATGATGTGAGGAATCCCCCAATCAGGTGCTAGGTTCAAAATATGTGAAATACATCTGGATACTGGGCCTGGAGCCCCCACCTGGCAGGGGAGGTGACCCAACTAGCCGTCTCGGAGGGGGGAGGATCAGCAGGTATAGGACAGACTTCTGATACTGGTGTGCACTGGAGCAGCAGGTCGGGGGTGGGGCCTGGGGTCCAGCATTTCTAGCAAGGTCCCAGCCACTGAGCAGGAAGGATACAGAGCCCTCCACAACTGGGACAGCCCTCTGGGGTGGCTGTGGGGATCAGGGTTAAGAGATGTTCCATTAGCACATGTTCTTTAAAAGAAAGCCTGACCAAACAAGTTCAGGAATCATGGATTTCAAGAAGTTTATTTCCCACAGGCCTTCTCAGAGCCTTTACTATGCTAATATGCACTGTGACAACGCCTGCACCTTCTCCCAAGAGGGGTTAGTGCTCAGTGTCACCCAACTAGGTCTGGACCTTGGAATGCTTTCGCCCCAGGACGTCTTGGTGGACTGGGTTAGAAGGAACACACCCAGTGAGAGTTGGAGATGTGGGGCCTCCGTCTCTGATCCTCCATGACCAGGCCCCTAGTTCTTTGGCCACAGCCCTGTCACTGAAACGGATCCTACTGTGGTTTCACCAGCATTTCCCGGAGAGTGGTGAGGGTAAGTAGGCATCTAATGATACGCTTGTTGGTGATTTGGGATTCCACTCTTCAATGGCCTGTCCCCACCTTTTGCCCATTTTTCTACAAGATTCAAATATATCAGTTTTTGTTTGTATCCTGCGCTCGATCCATGTTTATAAAAATCCGTCCACACTCCGAGGTAACAAAAACATTCTAATATTTTCTTCTAAAAAATGTCCAAGGAATGCTTTTCACATTTACATTTGCATTTGTGTAGGATGAAAGGTAGGGCTGATCCACTTTCTTTGTATCGCACTTAAAGGACACGAAAAACAAACAAACAATGAACGGTTTTCTTCTGCAAGGAGTTTGGCAAAAGTTGAGCAGGGACTGTGAGCTCACGTTACCTTGTGGTCTTGAGTTCCTAAGTGAATGCCCTTTCTGATCTTTTCCAACCAGGAAAATAATTTCTCCCAGCAGCCTCTTTTCTTCTTTCAGCTCTCTGCCTGCCGTGGATGCGCTGAACACCTGAGCGCATTAAAAAAAGACGGCAGGGTCTCTCCTGCCCCCCCCCCC